ACGCCGCCGAAATGGTGGCCGAAAAGCTGGACAAAAAGATACGCGAGAATCTGCGCGACGCCCGCAACAGTCTGTTCAACGGCGGCGATATGTTTGGCGCCAACGTTGCGCTCACTTTCCAACGGCCACTACTCGTGGTGCTCGACCGCAACATGGATATGGCCACACCTCTGCACCACACCTGGACTTATCAGGCGCTGGCGCACGACGTGCTCGACCTTAAGCTCAATCAGGTCCGCATCGAAGAGTCCACAGGCGATAAGAGTCCGCCCGCCGTGGCCTCTAAGCCCAAACGGCCCGTCAAGGCCTACGATCTGAATCCGTTGGACAAGTTTTGGGAACAAAATAAAGGCAATCCCTTTCCACAGGTGGCCGAAGCGGTTCAGGAAGAGCTCGAGTCCTACCGCTCGTCGGAGGACGAAGTGAAGCGCCTGAAGACAGAGATGGGTTTGGACGGCAATGTGCCCGACGAGACCATCTCAATGATGTCCAACAATACGGCCAAATTGACGTCAGCCGTCAAACGCCGCCGAAATGGTGGCCGAAAAGCTGGACAAAAAGATACGCGAGAATCTGCGCGACGCCCGCAACAGTCTGTTCAACGGCGGCGATATGTTTGGCGCCAACGTTGCGCTCACTTTCCAACGGCCGCTACTCGTGGTGCTCGACCGCAACATGGATATGGCCACACCTCTGCACCACACCTGGACCTATCAGGCGCTGGCGCACGACGTGCTCGACCTTAAGCTCAATCAGGTCCGCATCGAAGAGTCCACAGGCGATAAGAGTCCGCCCGCCGTGGCCTCTAAGCCCAAACGACCCGTCAAGGCCTACGATCTGAATCCATTGGACAAGTTTTGGGAGCAAAATAAAGGCAATCCCTTTCCACAGGTGGCCGAAGCGGTTCAGGAAGAGCTGGAGTCCTACCGCTCGTCGGAGGACGAAGTGAAGCGCCTGAAGACAGAGATGGGTTTGGACGGCAATGTGCCCGACGAGACCATCTCAATGATGTCCAACAATACGGCCAAATTGACGTCAGCCGTCAGTTCCCTACCGGAGCTGTTGGAGAAGAAACGCCTCATAGACTTACACACGACGATCGCCACATCCATCTTAGACCACATTAAGAGCCGAAAACTGGACATATATTTCGAGATCGAAGAGAAAATCATGTCGAAAGCTGTGTTGGATAAGTCGCCGCTGGAGCTGATTATCGACCCGAACGCCGGCCACTCGAACGACAAACTGCGGCTGTTTCTCATCCAATACCTGTGCGGTTCGGGCGCCGGAACCATCACTGAGACCGATGTGAACCAAATACTAAACGAACTGTCGGTCGCCGGTTGCGATCTCAACCCCTATCAGTATATAAAGCGGTGGAAAAAGTTTAGTAAACTGTCGCCGATGTCCGACAGTCAGTACGTGTTTCATACGGGCGGCGGCACTAAAACGGTGAGTATGTTCTCGAAGCTCATGTCTCAGGGCTCGCAGTTCGTGATGGAAGGCGTCAAGAATCTGGTCCTCAAAAGGCATACTCTGCCCATCACTCGCATTGTGGACGCGTTGATGGAAATGAAATCGGTTCCCGAAGCCGATGAGTACCGCTATTTTGATCCCAAACTGTTGAAAGCGGATAACCAGTCGTCGGCCCGACACCGGACTCCCTTCCAAGACGTGAGTGTTTTCTTTTCTCTATGCCATGCGTTTTGCCATTACTTTTAATGGTCGCGGCATTGGATTACATGATAGGGAATAGCGTTTCTTTGATTAGTTTTTTGAGATTTTGTTTTTTACTTATTTTGTGTTATATTTTTGTTGTTTGGTTTGAAACGAGTGTTGAATTTCTATTTCAAATAAAGTATTATATTTAATGTGTGTTTGAAAATTGTGTTGAGAAATGTTTTATATATATATATTTTACGACCGATTCTCTCATTATTTGCTTATTTTTATTGTTTTTTCCGTAAAGTGTTTTGTTTTGTTAGTGATATTTGTTTTAAAATTTATTAATATTTGCTTTTTGTCGCTTATAATTAGCGATGAAAATAATATTTGCATTTCTAACCAATGCTGTCATTATATATACATTTGTCGATAATTTTTGAGCAAAAATTTGTATGTTTTTAGTCTTTTTAATATGTGTTTTGCTAACAGAATAATAATTAATGAGAGAGAGAGAGAGAGAGAGAGCTGTTATAATCATTATTGACGTGTTTTTGATATAAAAGACTGACGTTTTGTTATCAGCGAAACATGTATTTTTGCATTTAATTTATTTTAATATATTTTTCAGCAATAATTTAAATAAATATTTTCACAAGAATTTTAAGTATAAGAAGGAGTAGTGGAAGAAAAAACTGTTTTTCCAAACACACAGAGAATTAATGATTGATTCTCTCTCTCTCTCTCTCTCTCATTAATTATTATTCTGTTAGCAAAACACATATTAAAAAGACTAAAAACATACAAATTTTTGCTCAAAAATTATCGACAAATGTATATATAATGACAGCATTGAGTGATGTTTTCGTGAGCTATCTCTCTATCTCTTTTATTCTCTCTCTCTCTCTCTCTCTCTCTCTCTCTCTCTCGCAGTTGTATTCAAAATGCCATAAAATTGTGTTTTTGGGAAATGAAATTCAATATTCGGTTCTCTCCTTGAGTTTTATTCATAATATTTAATGGCATTTATGATTATTTCTGTAATGAAATCTTATACTAACTTTCTTAACAACTATTAAATGTAATGCATATCTCTTGTGAAACCAAATGCGAGACTTTCACTCATTTGAATGTTAGATAAACACAAACATATAATGGATATGACATATAAAATGCTAAACAAAAATATTTTCATTTCTCATTCAATGGCTTGAATTGCAATCCAATGGTTATAATACGAAAGGCGATCGTCTTTATGGTCGGCGGAGGGAATTATATCGAATACCAGAATCTCATCGATTACTGCAAAGTATGTCAAACATTAAACATAACACTAGACTTTGGGACCACAATTGGTGGCAATAATTCATTAAACATTCATTTTGTTTGTCTCTATAATTGCAGAATAAATCCAAATCATCGCCGAAACACATAATCTACGGGACGACTGATCTAATGAATGCCAACCAATTCCTGAGCCAACTCTCGAAGTTAGGCGAAGATATTCATTGAGTTATTACCTGTATTTATAAGTTTTAATTTGTGTAATATTTTCCTGTTATCGATATTAAGTCTTACTTTTTAAGCGTTTTAATGTTTAAAACACTTTAGGATTGAATTGTATTCATATTTGGCGTAAAAATGTTTTTTAAAATATAGTCCTTTTTAAATATATTATATATAAATAATTTAAGAAATTTATTTTTGTCGATCAATTTGTTGGGACCATAAAACAGAGTATAATATTAATTATTATTTAATATTTATAATTAAAAAATTACATTAAAATTATTTTGTTTTTTAATTTATTATAAAATTCATATTGTGTGACAAAATATTATATAATATTTATAATATAATAATAATGATAGAAATATAACAATAAGTTACATATATAAAAAGTTTTAAGTAAAAATAAAGTGTCTCGTAATGAATGCATAACTCGCTCTCTCTCTCTCTCTCTCTCTCACTCACTCACTCACTCACTCTCACGGACTTAAGAATATTCGTCTCTCGCGTAATATTTGAGTGTTTTTTGTATGAAATATATAAAAATCTCGCTTTTTTGGTAAATCCTACTCTCGATTGCCGTTTCTCTCCGGCACTCGATTTCTCTCTTCTAGTGATGTTTTCGTGAGCTATCTCTCTATCTCTTTTATTCTCTCTCTCTCTCTCTCTCTCTCTCGGCTGTTGTGCAGTAAAAATAATATATAAATGTTTGCGTTTTTAGTGAATGGAATGCCTTAATAATAGAGGCATTCAATTGAGTACTCATTTCTTTCTTAGATTTTCGTGAAAAGCTTTGAAGTATTTTTTCTTTTCAGTTATTTCACCAGTAATTTAACTTACATTTGGGTACTCGAGAGAGAGAGAGAGAGAGAGAGAGAGAGAGAGAGAGAGAAAGCGGATGCCGAAAAAGCGCTCATAAAACAAACATTCCAGAGGCAGCCACTAATTTCCCTTAACTATCAATTTTCTCTCTCTCTCTCTCTCTCTCTCTCTCAGGTGGAGAGAGCGAGAGAGCACTCATACCTTACGTTCACAGAATTCATGACAACCGGGAGAAAAGCAAGCGCTGGCATTCACTCTCCGGCACAGGTATATACAGGTATACACGTATATAAAGTACATTATCAATACTTAGTAGCAGCGCATACATACATACAGACCTATCGTGACATTACATTATAGGAGCTGTACATTAAAGGCACAACAGTTGTGTGTATGTGTTGTTTGGCTGTAAGAGTGGTGAGAGAGAGAGAGAGAGAGAGAGAGAGAGAGAGAGAATGCTAAGGTATGTGTGTTATGTGTATCGTCGGTACGCTCTCTCACACCACATACACGGCTACTGATGATAGCAATTGATAACATACTATAGTAAATGCGAGGAATGGTATGGCGAGAGGGGGTGGTGTACGCGGGACGGGATGGTCTGCTCACACATACATTACACACACATTGCACACAACACACACATACAGTGACTCTCTCGCGGGGCGCACAGGTATTTAGCGACAGCCACAGCCCTCAACGACCATATCCTGATAGTTTTTCAGCACAACCTTATCGTATTCATCGACGTATAGCATAGAAATGGGTGACAGCTCTGTGGGTATGCAACAGGCCTTAGGCACTGCCGACGGGTTCACCGAATTGACCAGCGTTTGGACGATGGCGTGATTGGTTGAGTTGAGGTGATCCGACAGCGGGAACGGACACTCGCCCGAGCAGTAGTAGGCCTGATAGCCGGGAGGGGCGACGATCCAGTCGTTCCAACCGACGTCACCGAAGTCCACGTACAGCGAGTGTCGGCGACAGTTGTCTTTGCGACCCTTACCCCGATGTCGGCCGCGGGTCCGGCCGTTGCCATGAGTTTGCCGTTTGCGGCGCAACTTCGCTGCGTCGGCCTCTGCGTGACGATCGGACGTATAGGTCAACAGTAGTGGTTGAATGTGTGCCCAGTAGTCGTCGTCGGTCACCACTACCTCCTCTTCCTTCTCATTCTCATTGTTCTCCTTATTGTCATCGAATTGTTGCTCGGATTTGGTGTGTATTGTCTTATGTTTGCACTCGTGCTCACTGTCACTGTCACCCTCAGTGCCGACCCCCACATGCAATTCTGGCACATCACTGGCCTCAGCAGCAGCTCCTGCCCGGCCATCGTTGGGCAGCACAGGTGCTGTCGATGGGATCCCATTGATGGCACTGACAACAGAATTAGGCGACGATTTGTCATTAGGAGGTGACGACGATTGTACAGGTGTTTCAGCACCTGATGAGTGCTGGGACTGGGATTTAGACTGCGATGAATAGTGTTGGGGATTAATAATAGGACTGTTGTTGGCGTTGGGATTAGTGGCTGTGGGGGTGACTCCGAAGGTTGGCTTTAAGAGCACGTGCGCCCTATGGCCGTCGGGCAATGAATGTGTGCCATTAAAATCGGTGATTCGCACATATAATCCTAGATTCGTGGCCGGATTGCTGGCCCACCGCTGCACCGCCGGCATCACATCGAAACTGGTCCACTCGGTGTGCCTCACGTCCACCACATGGGTGTCGATTAGTGTCAGTGTTAGCCCTCCGTCCGCTTCCCAATCCATATCGTTATGATTTTGATTGTGTTTATTATTGCGATTATGTTTTGCTGGCAACGCTAGTATGTCATAGATGTTCACTCTAACCAGCCATCGTTGCCAGTCAGCGTTGCCAACAGGCCGTGTCTGGTCCCCACTGTCACTACCAGTGCCACCACTACTACCACTACCACTACTATCCCGGGGCCTGTTTTGTGGCCTCAACTGTTGAGACGCCGTTTTTGAGGAACTTTTACTAGTTTTTTGATTAATACTTGATTTAGTTTTCAATACGTTTTGTATTGATTGTCTATAG